ACAAATGACTCAGTGTTCATTTAATTAGAACATGGTTACACTGATGATATTAAGAGTTACATTTTCTGGTTAATGGACAAAGGTATTGTTTGTAAAAGTTCAGTTTCCTTAGTAATGCAGAAATACCACAGCAGACAAAGTACTACCAACAAGCTTGGTGATGATACTGTTGCTTCCCTCAAATCTTGCTACTATTAGTGGGACAAACAGTGAGTGAGTTTAGTTTTACGCCGCACTCAGCAATATCCCAGCTATATGGCGGCGGTCTGTAAATAATCGAGTCTGGATCTGAAAATCCAGTGATCAACATCATGAGCATCGATCTGCGCAATTGGGAACCGATGACAGCGAAACTGACCACCCGATCCCGTTAGTCGCCTTTACGACAAGCTTAGTCGCCTTTTATGGCAAGCACATGGGTTGCTGAAGACCTATTCTACCCCGGATCTTCACGGGTCCATACATCTGAGAATCCTATCTTGGACAATGTTTCTCTAATATCAGAAGTCCAGTTTCTTTTCCTACGTTATCGAGTGATTTAAGCATTCGGTAACACTGGTGTGCGTGGCGATCGGTTGTCATTCGTAGAACTTTTATCCAGTACTTGATGGCCTTTACCTCTGTTCTATTGTTCCCTAATGAACAGTTGAAAATAGCTCGGCCCATATGGGCCACTCCCCACCTCTGCGCCAGCGACCCATGTGACAGCTAGCCGCTTGTCACTCTCTACATTTTCGAGGCCAAAGCTATTTTGGACATGCGCCAAATAGTGAAGAAGTGGGGACGGTTGGGACGGCCCTTAGACTTTGAGTCAGGATAAGAATAAAATATCAATTTTATAAAAAAAATAATACATATTTGTCCTTATCCTGACTCATACGTTATTGCTTTAATCCAACTGATAGGTGGCGGGTCAGCCATCTCTTTTTGGATTACAATAAACTGTTCAATCAACCCCGTCAGAACTCAGATACTGCGGCCAAAACTTGGGACCACCTTTTTTAAAGAAAAAGACGTAAATCATTAGACTCTGTGGATTCTTAAACTCGCAAGGAATTAGATTCCCACTTATCTTGGGTCGATCCATATGTTCAGAATAGCAATGTCTGTGAGATAGTGGCTTGTAAATACAGTGTCCGATCTCGAGAAACATCCTTCCATAATTTATGAGATGGAGCAGTTGCCATGTGGAGCTAAAGTGGATGCCACAGCTCTGACTTCGTGAGGATTGGAGGCTGTAGGTGGATCCAGTCCTGCTGCTTTAATTATAGGTTCTCAAATTCACTGCTCTCAGCCAGAAGGAGATGGTCGTTCAGGAGACTTTGTAACGGGTGATATTGGGATGAAAAGTCTCCTAAACTTCTACTCCAAGCAGTTCTTTTCAGGTAAATTTTCAATGCTCTGACTGGACACAAGGACATGTCTTGGGTATCTTCCACTGGGATGTGGAATTGTCGTAATACGTTCCATGTGTGAAACTAGCATTCTGGGGTGCGCATGAGCTTGCCTTATGTGAGGATGAATGAAAGGTTGGGCCAGTTTGGAAGTCTTAGATTTGGTTCTCTGAGAAGTCTGATGAGGTCTGGAAACCACGTTCTCGATGGCCAGTAGGGCGCTACCAAAATCAGTCATAGGATCTTCATCTGGACGATCTTCTGTTTGACTTTTGGTAGAAGTACAGGTGGTGGGAATGCATAGGCGTGGAGACCTTCCCATGATCTAGCTAAGGCGTCTAGGGTCCAGGCTAGTGGATCTGGGACCGGTGAGACGAAGATCTTTATCTGATTGAATCTTGTCACAAATAGGTCTATGAGCGGGCAACCCTGTTCTCGCATCAGTAGTTGAAAAGCCTCTGGATGTAACATCCATTCTCTTGGGGATGGTTTGATTGGTCTGGGCAACACGTCTGCTAGAATATTGACGGCTCCTGGAATATGCCTGGCCTTTATTCCCAAGTTGAGACTGTCTGTGAGGTCGTAGAGGCGAAAAGTTCTAGCAGGGTGTCAATCTTGTTGTGCCTTGCAGGTTTATGTAGAAAGTTACTGCTGTGATGTATTTGTGTATTATCAGGAATTGATTTCTGAAGAGGTGAGACCAATCAGTTATGGCTCTTATTTATTATCTTGGATACAATATGTATGAGCGGGTGAAGAATCCCCATAGGCAACGAAATCGGCAACCAATCCACCAATCCAAGCTAATAACTCTTGGTCCTCATTGATAGAAGCACTGATTTCCTCCTGAGATGTATCCTCTACAGCTGAGACACTGAGATTATCTTCCTAAGGCACCTCACAGACTGAAGGCGCATGCGTAGATTGCATAAGAGGTGTGTCAATCTCCATAGAGGATGGTACTTGTTGTTGCTGAATAGCCACCAGTACTTGTTTGCGTGATGTTCGCTAGCGCTAGAAAATCAGGTTGCTGCACAAAGGGTTGGGCCTGCATGAAGACTTGCATCTGCGCGAATGCTTCAATAAAGGGCTGAGGCTGCGTGAAGATTTGAACTCTGCACGAACATCTGAGGTTGCGTGAAGGATTGCGCCTGCGCGCAGGCCGGTTCTGTGACAAATGTGGTGGAGCAAAGGACTGCTGTAGAGCAGGGTTAAGATGACATGGCATTGCTTGCGCGAAGGCTGGCGTCTGCGTCGCAGGTTGTGACTGTGAGAAGGTCTGAGACTGGGGATAGGGCCTGAGCATGTGCGCTGGATGTCTTCTTGGCTGTCTGCGCTGAAAGCATCTGTAGTACCACTACTAAAGGTTTTAAAACCGGAGGAGGCTGAGTGAAGGAGTGATCCTCTGCTTCATGAGCTGCAGTTTTCTGAGGAGCCTGCAAACAGGCTTTGATCTCTTCTAGGGATGCTCGTACTCCCGCTGTGGTCATAGTGGATGACTTCCTGCAGACTTCTTTCTTTAATTTCGCCAACATCTGTAGGGCGGACCCTTCCCCATAGGGAACTCTTTCTATAGATCATCTAGGCTGCGTAAACGTCTCTGGGTTGGCAATGTCACACTGAGAATCCCGCAAGGGAAAACTCGATAAGTGACTGAAAGGAATCTAGATTAGTATTCAGAGAAAATAATGTCCTCAGGAGACTCTACAGGAACGAACATGTTTTAAAACGTAAACACCACTCTGACAAAGTCAGAAATTACTAAATAAATAGCCACTTTAACACATGTAGCCCCTGGTTATAATCCAAAAGGGATATAGGATGAATATTCAAGCGAACAAAAATTACATAGGGCTGAAATAACAGAGTGGTAGCGTGTATAAGGACGCGAGCAAAACCATCCAACCGTCCGGGAGGGCGAAATGGAGAGAGTGACAAGTTACTTATTCCCTGTTTAAAGAAGCATATGTGCGTTATATCAATATCAACAAAAGTAAGAACAGCCTTATCACAGTTTTGTTCCGTTTATTATGATTTAAGTTGTAATAAGGGAAAATTTCATAAGAAATCTACTGTGTGCAGATACTGGCCTTCAGTTCTGAATAAAGATTGATTGACTGATTGACTGACAAGTTGCTGGCAGTTACATGGGTTGCTGGCACAGAGGCAGGGAGTGGCCCAAGTGAGGTGAGCTATTTTTGACTGTTCATTAGGGAACAATAGGACAGTGGTTTCCACTGTACCTCGGAGGAAAAGGGAGATAAGCAATAACGTACGAGTCAGGATAATGAAACATAATCTTATTTGCAATTGTTAAACCGTATTTACAAATAAACATGTGGAAATATAAGCCAGGTGAGCAGTTGGTAATAATTACATTAGAATAAATTTTCAACAAATCATCATCATCATCCTTATAATTGTTTTATAACAGGTTAAAATATTTTAAAAGCAGAAACGCGCAAGTTCTTAAGTAAGATTTATGACTGTTGGAATTAAACAAAAGTAGAGTTATCGTTCCTGTTTGAAGTGATGGTGGCGCAGGTACTTGTGCCACTGTCATTGGATCCAGAACAATATGTTCTCGATAACAGCTCAGCTGTTTTCACAGCAGAAGCAACCGCCATATTAACAGCTCTTAAGTATATTGATAAACACCCTAAATATAAACAATCTATAATCTTTTCAGACTTTTCGTGCCTTCAGGCTATTAAAAATCTCTTGTAAACATCCACTATTAACCAAAATCATTGAATTATATAATGCTTTGCTACTGGCAAATACAACATCATCCTCCAGTTGGCCGATTCTGCTGATAAGGCAGCACTCAACAAATCTGTGACACCACTTCTCATCCCATACTGAGATAACAACAGAGTAATTAGATCTTACATCCATGATCTAATGCAAAAAGTGGGACACCCAAGTATGGATCAATAAATTTCATCAAATAAAACCATCTATCGGTTACACCTACTTGAACTGTCAGTCCTCATTTGAAGAGGTCATTATGTGATGATTGGCCATGCAAGATATAATCATGAATATTGATTGTAAGGTGAGGATCCTTCGTTTTGCAACCCTTGTGATGAAAGAATCATGGTCAAGCATGTCCTGCTTAACTGTATTAATTTTCCATCACAAGGGATAAATATTTCAATGCCAAAACAGTTAAGAAATTGACCTACTTGATATAGCTTGATTTTGTTTTGCAATTAGTACATGGTTTTAATTTGACTAAATAACTTTGATTTTTTTATACATGTTATTTTAATGTTTTGGCTAAATTGGAATACAAGCACCAACGGCAGAGGGAAATGGTGTGAATCCAGCTAGGGTCCATGTTAGTAGGAAAAGGACTGTCCCCATGGTCCCTAGTGTGGTGATCTTCCTTCACTTGCTGGCAATCTATAGGCCGTTTTTCATATTGTATTGTTATTGTTAACGATATCATTTTATAATAACATGCTAGTTTTACCTTACTATCTGTCTTGTAGTTTATTGTCCATCGCCAACAGGTTTTTATCTTCATAATGTATTTATTTTTAATTTATAAAATGTTCTTTGGTTGAAATATTGGCGATGTGACGATAAATATTAACTCACTCACTCACTCTTGTTTGAAGTAGTTCTGATGTCCACAGGCCAATATGAAATCCCTCCAGAGGGGCACGAGTCGGTATTTGGCTTGTCCCTAAATAAGTCGAGTTAGTCACGAATGTCAGTGTTTCATGTATTGCTTCATAAATCTTTCCTCATCAGGTCTTGGTGTGATCGTTGAAAGCTTGGATTGAGAGAATGTTGTGGCTATCATATGAACTATGCTTTCACTCTTATCAACAAAGTGAACTTCTGTCAAGCATCTCTTGCTGCCCGTCCACATACCAAATAGTTTTGTTGCTCTCACATATGCATTACAGCACCTTTGCTTTGGTACACAAAATATACCTACAAGAAAAGAAAAACCATGTAGTAATGTGACCTGGTGGTCAAATCATCTAACAGGAACACTGTATACACAGCAATATATGCAGTAACGTTATCATTTTCTTTCAACAGTATAAAACAGAATATGTTTACATTATGGTATGGTGTGCTTAAAGCAAGAGTTCTTTCTGTATAAATTAGTAAGTCCTCCATTCATCAGTTGCTCAAATGGACCAAATATTGATCAAGATATTAGTTAATATGGTTTCATAATGGTTGTAGCAATATTCCAGCAATATCTTAATGGGGACACACCAGTATTACCAATGCTTGGACAACTAGGTAATATCCTACCATCCCCATCCTACATATTCTTGAACATATATAAAAATGTTCATGTGACATGTCAATAGTTCCACCATCCTCATCAACACCAATTGGACTGACCTGAACTTATTGCTGGTATTGCCACTATGGCAGCTCCTGCATTAGTAGCTTCAATAAGGCATCGCAGGATGGTCTTGCACAGGTCATCTTCACACTTCATCTTGTCATAATCCTTATAGTCATTCCAGGCTGGTCCAACTGCATGGAGTACCATCCTACAAGGCATTCTGCCTGCTGTTGTTCTTACCACACCAGATACAGGGATGGGGCCATTGTTGTGAACATACCGTCTTCCTTCATCATCTAAAGCATCCCCAGCAGCATCATGTATAGCTCTGGAAACTCCACTTCCATGACCCAGATGTCTGTTTGCAGCATTGACAATTGCATCAATCTTCAGTGTTGTTATGTCTGCTGAGTAAACAAGGACGCTGACAGAACCGACTTTGAATACCTGATTAACTGGTTGATCTATCCTTCGCTCGGGTGTAGATGAGTGTTCAAGATGATTCCCAGCGAAGAAGTGTTTGAGCGTATCAGCTAAAGAATGGGTAGTATTCCTTGATAACTGTAAAGGAATGAAACAGTAAGGACTTAGTAATTACAGACTTTGTATCCATAAAGTATCAACTATAAAAAATGACCACAATTCTAACAAAACTATTTGTCAGATGATGACAAATCCTTCCTGGCTCAAACAAATTTGTTTGATTTATATTCTTACGGCACTTACAATAGAGAAATGTTCCAATTTGATTAGCACAAACCCTACCAAATCTCATTCTTATTAATCAGACAATATCAGAAAAAGGTATTCAAGAGCATGATAAACGTTCAGAGTCAAGGTTTCCAGGGATCAAGGGTCCCTGTAGTCCATCATAAGAAAGAACCACGTCTTTGAAGAGCATTCAATCCATAAAATGCAAAACTCTGGTAAATGAGGCACAAATTTCATTGGCCAATGTGAAGCTTTTCATTGGTGGACAGTTTGTGTTTGAACTTGTTTCGCTATTTTCTATCATATGAAGAGGAACAGGATGAAAAATACTACTTTTACTGATAAAGATGAATGTCGACCTGGAAGTTTCTTCTGGATAAGAATATAACAGTTGTCAAACCAATATAGTTTTGTTGTCTTTTGAGAATATCAAAGAACTACAGGGCACGGGCTTAAACATTGTTTGAAAGAAATGATCATATAAATATCATGGTTTCTTCAATTCATAATTTCACTAGAGCCTCTTCAACCTTTAACACACAACAGATGTTTATACAAAAAATAAGGTAGAAGTGTCTCAAAGCTATTTCTTCATATGCCAGTTGAGGGACAGAACATGTTGGCTCTATATCATAATCCTTTAGAGACCGTTAATTGTAATCGTAGAAAAAAACCCCACATCGACTATCAGTATTCATGAAAACAAACTGATACTATAAAGTATCACTGTCTATATACTAGTATACTAGACTGTGATTGTCATGGATTCTATTAAGTTAAAGTAAATTATAATTCAGAGTTTTGGCAAAATCATCTGTGATCCAATTTGACAGACTGCATCAACTCACCATTATTTACAACAGATTTACAAATAGATTGGTTCTGTTATTGAGATGATTATTACCTTTCAGGGAATTGATAATCCATCCTAACAAGCTATACTTTGACTCATTAAAATGTCAACATCGAAAGATAGTTATCATTGTGAAAAGGCCTAGGAACACCAACTCTATCATTGCTGTAAATTCCGTATTTGACTGCAATAACACAAATTCAAATTATCCTAAATACAAAGTCTTATTTTTAATAAATATCCTCCCCACACCAATTCTATTATCTTAGAGCTGTTCTGTGCACAGAAAGGCAAACCTCACTCCTTTCATTCCAACATCCATCAACAAGAGATCGTTGATTAGGAAGGGGAACTGTTGATGTAATCAAGGTGGCACTTATGAATCTTGTTCCTCTATTACACCATTTCCCAAAAAGAAGGCGGGTTCTACTTTGATGCTCTCCCTGTATAGTTGACAGTAATCTAATTTACTGCTTCAGATCCTCAGGAGATGACTTTCAAGCATTCACCTAAAGAGGACTTGAAAATCGGGCAGTGAGTGAGATAATCAGACAATATGTGACACCCCATTTATTATATCATTGTGTTGATACCTCAATAATAACATCCTTATGTGGCTGTTATTCTCATAAAGATTGTCTTTAACTAGACTTCAGGCATCATTTCACTGAAAATTTATTATTGTGATATCACTTCTGGTCTTTTTCTACAAATATCATACATCACTTCCCGTCCTTTGTCATAATATTTTCTCTTTTCACAAACATCTTCTGTTCCTTTATTGTTATATATGGTGTCCCTTCAATGTCCTTCTCTACCAATCTGACATCATTTCCCGTTAATGTAACAATTTTCTTCCTTTGATGAGCAATTCCCAATCTTGTATGCCTTATAATTAAACTTTTAATGTGATCACACCACAATATCAATCTCTTAATGATCAATATGTTTCACTAAAAGCTAATGATTAAAGCTGTACCACGATCTATAGGTGGTTGTGGAAACCCTCACAGCTGCACCTGACTCCCACATCCTGACTTTGTACCAAATGGGGAAAAACCCACTTTGACCTGACAATGGCCTGAGCTGTGTCCATGAGAACACGCCTTGTTATCTGGTTATAAGTCACAGTAAAAGTAGGTAAAGAGTGAGGTGGGTGAGTGAGTGAGTTCAGTTTCACGCCGCACTCAGCAATATTCCAGCTACATGGTGGCGGTCTGTAAGTAATAGAGTCTGGACCATACAATCCAGTGACAGCGTGAGCATCAATCTAGGCAATTGGGATACGATGACAAGTGTGAACCAAGTCAGCGAGTGTGACCACCTGATCCCGTTAGTCACCTCTTACAAGCATGGGTTACTGAAGACCAATTCTAATCCTGATCTGCACAGGTCAGTACTTTTAGATGTTGTGGGAACCATTCTGACATCCTGTAATTACTTGTTATAATTATAAAGACTGTGATGCGAAGTTGTAGTCAGGACCCCAATGCCATGGGCGTGGCATCAGCCTGAAATAGGCCTGTTAGTTACTTGATACTAGTGTGGACTTAAACTGATGACACTTTAGTGAGTTTTCTGGAACGTTTTACAAGATAGGTAAGTACAACATATGTTATATTTGGGATTACACTTTCTTGTGACACTACAGATTCTAGTGTTTTTGGTTGGGTTGAGTCCATACAGGATTCGAACTCACACCCTCAGAGTCGGGCACCTAATCGCCAGTAAACAAAGTCAGCCATTTAACCCACTCAGCTACCATGGCTTCCACAAAATTGGAAGTCAGAGAAAACTGGTGGTCTTGACCACGGAATTTGTGTACCCCTCTGAAAAGTGTAAATTGGCACGGCTCCCAAGTCTAGAATGACAGAGCATGCACGGGACATGATAAATGCTCAAGATGATCTGTCATAGATCTAAGTGCTGATAAAGTGAAATACCTGTGACGTACAGGACCAGTAATCATGGACTGGTTCCCAACCACAACACAGAGAAAAAGTGGCTTCCTGATATTTATAGTCAGTAGGACCTGAGTACACCAATGTGTGCAGTTCAGAGATCCACTTGTTATTATCAAAAAGCTTTTGTGATTCTTGGATTAAAGTGGCCTTTATTTAAAAGGTTCAAGTTCACCTAGGTGTGTAGATCGATAGTTTACTGATAAACTGGATTCAGGTATAGTGAACATCTTTCAAGAGGAAAGAATGCATAAATCTGTTTAGTATTTGGTGGTTACAAATGGCTAATCAATCTTTCTGAAAAACAAAAGAGGGACAGATTGATAAAACTATGTTCAAGTTCAGTTTGTGTATAATAATAATAATGTTAATTTAAGGCATTAATGCAAGTGTGCCTGGGCAAAAGTCTCTCCCTAAACACACCCTGCAGAGCATGTCCAGAAGCAAACCCACAAACATTCACAAGAGCAATTTCTCTCCGTGCCATGTCGGTATTTTATTTGCATGGGTTACAATGGTTTAATCATTCCACTGCCACTATGTTACAAAAAACTATTACAGATTGTCAGAGATGGCAAATTATTGGTATGCATAACTTCAGTATGTCTTTTACAGCAATTGGTCGGCATTGAATATCCCCTCAAAGTTGTCATTCGATCATCAACAACAAGCACGTTTGGCGTGTTGGTTACCATGGCAACTCTGGAATCTGAGATCTTGGTGAAGAATACATAGGTCTGATAAAAGCGCCTTACTTCTTCATGTAACAGATGGATGCTACAGAGTTTGAAAGCAGTGAAATAAAGCATTTGCTGTTTCAGTGACAGATTTTTATTCAGAATAATACAGTTGTAATAGGCGCCTCCGCTGAGCGAGGTCACCCAGTGACAGTAAAGGTTCATATATGTCATGGTTCGATGTTGTTATTTAACGCTCTCCGTTGTGGACTTTTGCGTTGTGTATTTTTAATTAGATGTTAATCTGGGTACCCTGGAGAGCGGAACCTTTCATGGACCTTATTTCAGGTTCTATGGTTTGTTCAAGTCATTGTAAAGATTCTTCCCAAAATAAGAACAAAGTTCAGATTTTGCCAAATAAATACAGTTTATTAATTAATAAAAACAAACTAAGCCAAACTTAACAAAATAAATAGAAGCCAGCATCACACACTCTCACAACTAGCAGTCTATAAGACCCAAAGAAAAAGAAAGTCCTAACTAATTTATTCCCCTACATACAAAGCCTACTCTAATCCTATCGTTTCCCCAACCCACTAAATGTTCTCCTACTCTACATGCAAAATAATACTATATAAAACCTAGGGAAAAGGAGGAAGACCTCCCGACTTACTGTTCGGTCAGGATGTCCTGAAGCAAGCGACTTCTCTGAGCGTTACAGGCCCTAAATACTCCAGCGCTAACCTTTGACCCGGGAAAAGTAGCCTAACTCCCATTGGCCCGCAATGGAGTCAGCCGACCAATCACGACAGCTCTACCATACCGCACTCGGAATGCAAACAGAATACACACCCGGGCCACGGCAATCCGAACACGGCATGGCAGCGCATGCCGTGACTGTCATCTGTCCGGGAAAGGAATAATTCCAACGGAATTTTACAGCCAAACGAAGGTAAAAGTGGAATTTTATTAACTACAAGCAACCTCTGAGAAATCCCTTACTCCCGGAAACTGCTACGTAAAACTTCCCACTAAATATATATATATTCCAACCCCAATAATGTGAAAAAGAAAATAACTTCTATTCCCAACAAAACCCATTTTCCTACATTCCTCCCCCTTAAGAGTAAAATTCCCAATTTTATTCCCATATTTTCTTTCACACACACATTCACACCTACAATAAATTACAACAAACAAAATGTGACAAATACAATAGAAATAATGCGACATTTACAATATAAATTTAATCACTGCCCAGTGCAGCCATAGCCTCCAGCTCTTCTTCCTCTCTCTTCCTCCCTGGACCTTCTTCGGGAAGGGAGGCGATGACGCCCTCGTGGCTTCCTCCTTCCGAAG